GACAGAGACAGGGCTACAACAGCAAAGAGTCCATCCACCCATCTGCTGCCCAGGAGATATCATACCTACAGCACAGGTCCAAGGTCTGCCCAAGAGACAGGGCCAGAGCCAGGACACCAGAGCAGCGCTCTGACAACACAGCCCTAGTAGGGACCAAAGCCTCAAGCCTGAGCTTAAATGGGGCTCCTGGGCCTCGGGCAGGGTGTGGGGGGGTGTGGGGGCAGCCCATCCACGGGTGAGGCTCGTCAGGGTGATTAAGGCCAATGAGTATCCTCAAGGCCAGCCACCATGCCATTGACAGATCCAGCGGGGATGTGAAGGCACCCGGGAGTGAGCCTGCATGGAGTCCCAACGACTCCTTGCTCTCAATCAACCCAGCCAGCTGAGGATGTGGGGGAGACGGTTTGCGCTGGTGTGGGGCTGGAAACCAGCGACGCGGGTCGGCAAGGGCCAAGAAGGAACCCACCATGGCCAGGGGTCTGTCTGGCCCCAGTGGGCTGGGGGGACCTCGGGGCTGACGTGTGTGTCACACACGAGGTGCAGAGGCAGCCTTGTCCCACCAGAGCACACCAGACGTGGCACTCGTTGTCTCCTGGGCCACCTTCTACACCCGAGGCAGCCCAGGACCTCCGGGAGGAGCAGGGGGAGGTCAGACATCCTTTGCGCATGGGCTTTCCCTGCGCTGTCAGACAGAGAGAAGACAGGAAGCAGCCTGACAGACGGGGTGTCTGGAAGCCCTGTCGGTGCCCTGGAGCCACGGTCCCTGAACTGCCCCATGCCAGCACCCGCGCTTGCTCTGTGCGTGGGAAATGAGTCACCGCTGCTGCGGGGCTGCCTTGGCTACACAGCCCCCTCCCTCGCCCGGCCTCATCGTGGCAGAGAGGAGCAAAGGAAAAGGAGAAGAGAAGAAAGAAAAGAGAAAAGAGAAAAAAGAAAGGAAAAGAAAAAGGAAAAGAGAAAAGAAAAAAGGAAAGAGAAAAGAAAAGAAAAAAGAAAAGAAAAAAGAAAAAAGAAAAGAAGAAAAAAGAAAAGAAAAAAGAAAAAGAAAAAAAAATAAAAATAAAAGAAAGGCTTTTCTTTCCACAGAGCTTCGTATCCGCCAAATGACCTTTCTGGCCTGGTGACTCATCTGGGGGAAGTTTGCAGATCTCACCATCTTTCAGCACACTGGTAGTGCTGGAGCACAGGGCCAGGGCATGGCTGGGATGAGAGCTCCTGGGACACAGGGGAAATGCTCAGCCTTGACCCTCTTGCTCCTTCCAGCCTCCTGCTCCTGGTGAGTCCCTGCACACTGGCTCTCGTATGGCATTGCCTCTCCCACCTCCTCCCCAGAGGTCCTGGCTCAGCCCGTGGCCTCTCATCTGCTCACCAAACCGACTTGGAGCATAACGTTTGTTTTCCTGTTTGGTTGTGGCTTTGCTTAAACACAGCAGAAACCCAGCTGGTTTTTTTCAGTATTGCCTTAGCAGGATGGGACATGTGTCTGCCTGTGAGAAAATACATTCCCTGCAAATTTTTGGCAAAACCGAAGCCCATAAACAGTGAAGAAGTGGAGCAATAGCCCAGCTGCTGGGTAGTGCTGGCTTTGCCGTCTCTTGGCGATGCCGGGATTCCCCCCACGCTGCTTAACCACACACGTGCATCTCCACACCTCTGCAGGGACCAGGCTTGGTCACCCAACCTGGGCTGAATCCCCCGAGGACAAGAGTTTTTAACATAAGGACTTTATTCTTTTACTTCTAAAAAAAGGTAAAGAAAATATATCTCGCACACACTCATATATATTCCATACACAAATGAATCAGGGCTTGGCAGAATCACCGCGCTCTACAGCAAATGGCATTTGAAGCCCCAGGAACCGGTGACACCCACAGGCTCCGTCCCGCACCAGCGTTCGCCTCGTGCCCTCGCAGCCTGCCCATCACCCAGCGTGAAGCCAGAAGGAGCCCGGGGTTTTATCTGCCCCCGGGAAGGGTGCCAGCACCCTCCCTGCCAGCAGCCTGGATGCAGGAGCGACGAGCAAGGCAAGCACGAGGACGGATCGGGGCTGGAGGAGCAGCTCCTCCTGATCAGCGCCAGTGTGACCCCGGCAGCTGGAAGACAAGGGGAGCCGGCCGTGGGGCTGAAACCGGTGTCCTTACAAATGTCACAGCCGGTCAGGTGCCCGGTGCATTCACCTCCCCAGGATCGCTCCAAGCCAAGGACTTCACCCGTAGCCAGACACATGCCCGCTCCGTTTGCTGTAGTGCCTGGAGAGCGACCCAGCGCCTGTGGACACACACAAACCATCTGAGACCAGCGAGAAACTAGACAAGGCACAGTGTTTTACAATTTTCCCAGGAAGGTTTCGACTCCATGATGCCCCAATAGCAAGGACAGGACATTACATGCATTCAAATGGCTACAAAACTTTACTACAAAAATAATATTTCTAGTGTTTCGTATAAAAATAATGCCATAGTACAGCGCTCCATGAACTGCGAGGCCACAAACCCCAGTTGCACACGAGCGGGGCGGGTGGGGAGGTGGTGCTGACAGCCCCTCATTTACCCAGAGGGTAAACCCAGCCAGTGTTGCTGCACCCCAAATTCCTAATTACAATTCATCCGATGCATTCTGTACTTGCAAAGCCTGAGATGAATCCCTGGCTCCCCTCTCTCAAGTCAACAAAATGCAGAAACAAGGGATTGAATGATGGCAGAACACCAACACGGTCGCAGCCGACCCTCTCCACCTCCAGGGCTGGATGGGTGCCCTGAGGGTGCGACCTGATGGATCTGCCAGGTTGCCTTCCTCTAGCCCTGCTTTACAGCTGGCCCATCATTTTTGCTTTGATTTTCTTGCTTATCATGTGGTTTTGCTTTCTTCTTTTTTTTTTTTCCTATATGTATATATTCTGCTTTGGGATCTGATCCGCTGAGGTTGGTTGGAGGAGGATCTGAGCCCTGATAGCTCGAGCTACAGAGCATCGTCTCGTGAAGACCTTTGCACGCGCCAGCAAAATTTATACTGGGGTAAATGTTTAATCAGGGCTTTCAGGAACGGACCACAGGTAAAAGATAAGGCTTACGTACAGCAATGTCTAGACGGGTAAAAATCGAAAACAATTTGGGTTAAAAAAAAGCCTGGTACTGTTACAGTGCTATAATAATAGCCTGGGATCAGCACTACCCAAAAAAAGAAAAACTAAAATGTGGCTGAAGTGTAGGACCATGAACAGGCATTCTGTGCTTTTTTTTGGGGGGGGATCAGCAAATGTCCTTATTTCTAGAGAGAATATGGGACCAGAAGGATGGTACATCTGCTGTAGTGGAGTAATAGGACTAAATTCAGAATTGCACTTAGCTCCTCCAAGAGAGTATTTCCTGGGTTCTGTGTTTGCAGAGAGCAGCAAAACCCCTCTGGTGTTCTCGCAGCAAGACTGTCAGGTGAGTTCTCGTTTTCTCCCATTTGCAGAGACTCACCCACGGTATCCCACCCTGGCGCTGGACACCGCTGGGGCACAGGGCTGGCAGAAGGGTTTATGGCTGTGGGTTTGCCAAGAACCAGTCTCACACTAAATCCACCCAGAAGCAGCTGCTGGAGGGAACAGTGGCCTGACTTCAAGCAGGAGATGACAGGCTGTGGGCTCCCAGCTCCTCTGAACGTGAATTCTGTGACACTGTCCCCTCATCAGAGGCAGTTTTTGTCACCTCTGAAGAGCTGGACTGCTACGGGGTGTTTGAGCAGCCCCAGGAGAGCCAGCACCCAGCTGACTGCCAGCATCAGTCTCAGGCTGGCAGAGCAGCGACCTGAAGTGCAAAGAAAGAAGCAGCAGAGAGTTTGTTAAGTGCAAATGGTGCAGGTTTGGCGTTAAGATTGCTCAAGGCGGCTGAGCCCGAGTCCAGCAGTGGGGGTGAGTGGGTGGCTTCTTGGCTGGGTCATGAGGAAACGCAGAAAAATTCCCAACAGCAATTTGGAAATTCACTTCTGCCCACCACCTGGCAAAGAGCCACCAACCGGCTCTGGAACAGCGACAGCCTTTGTACGTAACAGTGCCAGAAGAAAAAAAGCATCTCATTTGTTTCTAAAATACCGTCATTGGGCAATGACGAATTAGATATTTTTTTACTTTCTGCTCTGCAAAAAAAAAAAAAAAAAAAAAAAAAAAAAAGTTTTCTCTGATATTTTTATTCCCTGACTTGCTTCCTACTGGTCACCAGTTCAGCATAAACTCAGCTTTCCTGCAGTAACACACACTTAGGCCAAAATTGTCCACACCATAAAACATTCAGATTACTTCCATTGGACAGACATCAGTGTGGTGTCCCTGCTTCTGGTAGAGCAAGCCCTGTACCATTTCTCTTGACATTTTTTCTGTTTTGAGTCCAAATTTTAGATACAGCCATACAGCAGCAACGCTGCAAGCCACCAGACCGCCTACCACAGAAACTGGGATGACAAAGTGCATGGGAGGCGTTGACAAGAAGCTGGGAAGAGGCCGATCATTTGGTCTTTCTGTGGTCACCTGCACTCTGGCTTGGCCGGAGAATGCTTGGCTAGTGAAAACGAAGGTCTCTGAAGGCTCTGGCTTTCCTGTAGGTGATGAATAACCAGATGTTCTAGTACTACAAGCGTCTGCAGAGGAATTGGCAACCTTGTTGGTATGGGCAGAAGGACCTTTGTCTGCGGCAGTTGTGGAGGTTAGAGCAGAAACTGGAGCAGTCTCTGGTGGAATTGGTGTGGCTGGGACTGCGGTGGTCTCCAGGACGGAGGGGAGATCTGGACTAAAACTCCTAGAAGCAGTGTCTGGTGTGTTGGTTCTTGCACTTGTAGGGTCCAGGGATTCATTTGTAGAAAGTACAGGATGGTCTGATCCTTCGGTGGTGGCGGCGGGGTCTGAGTCTGAGCTGGGAGAAGTCCTGCCTCGAACACCAGCGGCAGCGTTTGCAGTATGTCCTGCAGGTGCTTCTGTGGATCCTGCGGGGCTGTCGGAGCTGTGCACAAGGGCCGCAGGGTATGGGGTGGGCTGGCTGGAGGCCACGGCCAGACCAACCTGTTTCTGAAAAGCAGCGGGCTCTCCCGGCACCGCTGCGGAGGCCACATCATGCGGACGTGAGGAGGCTGCAGCCGTCTTCTGGTCCAGTTTCTCAATGATCTTCTTCACCCACTCTGCCTCTGGATCTGCACAGATCTCCATGGACTTCAGGGTGATGAATCTGACAATAAAAAGGGGTCGATTACTGGATAAAGAACACACTGATCGGTGTGACGGGGGAGGCACGCAGCCAGCAGCACCGACTCTCTCAAGCGCACAGTAAACACAGCGGCGCTGGATGGATTACTCACTCCAGGAAGGGCAGGTGGCTCTGGGGTCTGACTGAATGAGGAGTGGCTGAGAGTGACTCACGGGCGAAGGGTTTCCCCCTCAGAAGTTTTTCTCTTTTGAAAGCATTGTCCTGCTGTTTGGACGTGGTGTTTGTCTCCAGTGCCCAGAGCAGGAAGCTCTGCGGGCACCAGCAGGGGGGGATGACAAACCCCTCAGATTTCCCCGGTGAGAGGAGACCCCCCAAGGTCAGCCCGGCAGGTTCGCTTTGGAGCAACCTCCTGGGCTGCAACAAAGTGGTCTGGATGGTGCCTCATCTTCACGGTAAGCTGACAACAGCAATTACCCTGGGGAAAAAGAACCCGTACCTTTTCCCGTCTCCAGACAAACTCAGGAGTCTGTCTGTCTCCAGAGAGAACGCCTGCTTTCACCGAAACCTGTGAGCTCTCACCCTGCATGCTTCTGCTGCCCCATGCTGCCAACGAGCACGTCCGCCAGTCCCTGTCCCCATCCCTTCATCCCCGTCTCTCTCTCTCTGTGTGAGCCCCTCATCCCACTTGGGAGGCTGTTGGGCTTTAAATAGGGAAACAAACACCACCCGCCCTTCAAATAAATACCGGTGGTGGCTAGGTAAATCATAGAATCATTAAGGCTGGAAAAGGCCTCCAGGATCATCAAGTCCAACCGTCAACCCAACACCACCCAACCCACTAACCCATGTCCCGAAGCACCACATCTA